GCCCGTGGGCCGGCGGTTTGACATCCCTGCTCTAAACCCAATGTTGCTCTTCAACTTTTCCATTGCTTAAATGACAATATATTAGTAAGTGCTGAAAACTAAAGTTGAGTGTGGCAGTGAACAAATTAAAGGCATGATCACTAGGAGAAAAAACTCTACGGTGCCTCCCTTTCCTTGGTACCCTAAGCATGTGCTTATCTTGCTTATTGGTTCATCCAGGGCTGCTCTGCTCCAGTACAGAAAGTACAAGTACCAATGGAAGCAAAACCTGAAGATGTAGCAGTTTAAACTGAATGACTGAAGAAATCAGTGATGGAAAATTCACTGTCTTCAAATAGTATTTCCATTGAATACTAATCATCCAATGCAAGATGGCTGTGTGGTCATTTCTGATTCTGTGTTCTCTCCTGCAGTTGTAGTCAGACTGTCTGGTGGCTGGTAGATATCTTGAATCAAAATGGAGTTTGTATTCCTCCACTCTCTATACTTGTTTGCTGTTAGCTGATGATCCTCCAGCAGCTGGTTTATCATGGCCAAGTCATGTTCTTTGCACTAGTCAACATAAGAATTAAAAACAAGTTACTAGACGTAGACATTGGGACCGATAAATGATCCAAGTCTTCTTGTGTATATACCCAACATTCAGAAAACTGAGAAAACTGTCTCTTAAATGTCAAGTCTCCTAGACCTCTCACTATTTTTTTTAAAAGAAAAACTATTTCTCATAATTACTAATTAGTTCCCTTGTTTTTAGAAAATAACCATTTTGCAATATAGAAAAATATTTTTAACAGTTGTTAAACATCCTACTGGTTGTAATAGTTACATTTGCAAGATATGAATAATGGATTGCATTGCAAATAAACTAAATGGGCTGGGTTTGTACAAAAAGTTTAGCTATAATCATATATGCATGCACATATCACTAACTAAAACTAAAATTAACTACATGCAGGCCATCAGGTGAATGCAACCATAGCTGTTTTCACTAGTCTGATTAAGCTGTTCATGTGAATACATCCAAAGGCTTCCTCCCTCCCCAAATCCAAAACAGCCAGAACCTCTCTGCTCCATCAAACTTTACCTTTAAGGTACTATTCAGAGCTCGGATTTTATGAAGTTTCTCATTTACAGAAGGGTTTTTACTCCTTTTGATAAAGGACTTTCTCAACTCTTTCTTAGTAGAAGGTCGCCGGTCCCCAATGGGAGATAAACTTGCTTGCTCTAAAGACTTGTACAGTTTCTCCATTTCATCCACAGAACATTTGATACAATCTGCATGGGAGATAAAAGAGAGGATTCCGTGATAGAGTGCAGGCGGGGTATAAATTTAATAAAACTAAAACTAAGGTGAACTATATTTTTTTTAAGTAAAGCATGTTCGGTGAATGGGAAAGTGCTACTTCTGGTGAGGGAATTAGGAGAAAAAAAGTAATATATGAACTATTTTGACATTTTCATCCATGAGTTGCTCTGTTGATATACTGTATGAAGAATACTAAAAAACAGGACTTAAGATTCCAGGTGCAATAGCCAAAATGTACACATATCAGAAATGATATATTAATGATGGATGTCTCTATTCCAGCAACTTATGATTGAAATGTCCGGAGCAGCTCCTTCGTAGGGAACATTTTCTCCACCTAGCAGTATAACTGGGCATATGACTGTACAGGGTCAACTATTTCATTTTTAGCAGCAATGTTATAATACTGTGGTGGTGCACCTCAAACATGTGTAATTAAATATTCCCTAACATGTCTGTTTCATTTATTTTATAGAATTATGCAAGTATAAACATGCCATAATTGTCCTTGGATAAAGGCTAAATTTAGGTTACTACTTTAGCCCAATGTTGAAGAAAATGCCTGGACTCTAGCAGACTAGCCTATTACAAGAGCCAAAATGCTATTGTAGTGTTTCTTTCTGACTCATCACCTCATTAAATGTGACTCAGTTTGTTGTAGGAAAAATCCAGTGTAAGCTATAATTAATTAAGCAAGAGCCAGTCAGACAATTTTTATCTCCACAGCTTGAATGAAAATACGTAGAAAAAAATTGTAGAATGTCTCTGCATGATGTTAATTTCAACTTTTACTGAACATCTGTCCAAAATTCAGAGTTAAAGAACTGAGGAGGCAGTCATCTTTGGAACCTATATGGTCCACTGTCTTTATCTGAAGTATACTAAGTTTTTTAGGTCTTATTCTCTGACATAATCAATCATCTTAATTTCTTTCAAAGATCTCTGGAATCCTCGAAAAGGAGTAGACGACATTGATATACTAAAGCCTTCTTTTCAACTGGAATGCTCATAAAGATCTCACCAAAATCTCGTGAAATCAAGGTGACTCTGATCTCTGTACTTTGGAATGCTTTTCTTCTAGATATTCAAGCAGCCAATTCCCTACTGAAAATGTGCAAAAGTATTAAAATAACATTACTCCAATATGCTTTTTGAGGGTTTCTAGTGACCCTCTAAGGATTTCTAGAATTGGGTGACTTTAGATCAATTTAATTTATTTCCACTTTTTCCTTTAGGCCTTCAGCAAGTGCACTTATCACTCAAGTGATACAACGAAAATGTTTTGGGCACAATTATTTTTTTTTCAAATGAAAGACCAGGATGATATCCCACTTGCATAGAAGAGCTATCTTTAAATTGTAAATATATTAAACCACTACTGCCATCCTTCTGCATTTCAGGGGTGCTAGAAGCTTCTGTCTATCTTGCCTAAGCCCAGTAATTTCTGAAAATCAGGTGTTAGAATTGTCTAAAGTCATTCCCTACCAGGTATAGATATCTCCTAAGAAGGCAGTAAAAATGATTAAACATAAAATGCATTAGATCTGATTTGCCTATAACAATTGACTGCAAAGGGTCTATAAATATCTCAGAAAAGAGGGTGTTATTGCTATCACAGACAAACAATACAACATAAATCAGGTCCATTCTGTTGTAGCTGTGTTTCATTTTCTACAATTTCCTCTTCGTTATTATTAGTTTTCATAGCCTCCTGTTAAAACCAAGCATATGATGCTCCCATCAAATGAAAGAAAAATAACAACAACTAGTTGTTGCTTCTGTCTACCTCAGGGATAGGCAACCTCGGCTCTTTTATGACTCACGGGTTTCAACTCCCAGAATTCCTGAGAATAGCTGACTCAGGAATTCTGGGAGTTGAAGTCCATGAGTCATAAAAGAGCCGAGGTTGCCTACCCCTGGTCTACCTGTTCTTTAAATTAGAAGCAATTATAGTTTATAGTTTTATAGTTTTATTATAGTTTATAGTTTTACAGTTTTAAAGTCAAACAATGTGCAACTGGGAATTCTGGTTATTTTTATCTTGTGCTATTACTTTGCTATTGTTTTCTTCTTTTAATAAAGATAGCTAGTCAATCGTGGCAGACTGATTTACCCTCTTTCTCTCTAGCCTTTTGTCCAGTATTTCCTTCCAGAGAAGGAAATAAGAGAGGCCACATAAATGTTTGCACGTATTAAAAAGCATGCATTTCCTTCCACAGAAGGAAATAATAGAGGCCACATAAAGGTTTGCATGTATTATTTAACACATGTAAAAAATTAAAAAGCATCCATTTTTAATACATGCAAACATTTGAATTTTAAGTTTAAAAAAGGGACATTCAGTAGTGTGAAACTCTATCTCATTTCTAGCTTCTAAAACCAATCCACATCTTTTTCTTTCAGAAGAAAACATGCAAATGATTGTGTTCTGCAAGAAACCAGTTAAAGCTTCCCAACAGAATAAGCATCTATCAAGATTTTGTTATCTCTTGTACAAAAATGCAGTAAACCCTCAGTTTAAACAGTCAATTCAGAAGGCAGAAGTGTACCTTCATCATGAATGACCATTAAATCCCTGATTGATGTAAACAGTCTATGCTGCAATTTTTCATTATTTTAACTTGATGACTAGAGGAAAAGTTTATCTGTTACATTTGAAGTCTGCTAAACCAAGTTATTTTAAAGTCAAGAATCTAGTGTATATATAGCAAATATATTGCAATAGGAATTTCAATGAATTTGGCATGTTGTTAAGAATTGTTAAACTGAGAGTTGAAATGCAGCTGTGTGGCAGAAGCAGCATCTGGATTGACTCAGCCCACTTTATTTATATAGACTGGAGTTATGCATACATGTACAAGATTATTCTAAATAGAAAAAGAACCTCCCTGAAAATTCCAATATATACCATCACTTGGGAGTTGTATTAATATAAAAATCTAGGATTACACACAAACAATAGCTTTCTTCCCATGTCTCCTCCAATTAAAACAGCCAGTCTGGGCAACCAAAGCAGTTTTGGTGCTTTATCTTGGTCTGAAATCAAAGTGAAATGGCCCTTGATCATTGGCTTATTTTAAATATATCTGTACATCCAACTGCAAATGTCTTGGGAAAAGTGAGTAATTTGGTTTAGCTTCAGGCCTGAATAAAAGCCAGGACCTCAAAACTCAAGGAGAGCACTTTCTTTCCAGATAATAGGTATAACTCTTTTCTTAACTCAGAAGCCAAAGGATTTGGATCTTGGCTGAATTGCAATATATGTGATGGCTATTTTTCAAAATGATTTGAAAAACATCCAGTTACCTGGATTTTGAAAGTACAAGAGTCCTGGACTCTATTTCATTAAAGTTCAGACAATTTTATAGGGTGCCTGCCTAGTTCTAACCAGAGAAAAATTTTTCAACTACAATGATTCAGATATTAAATCACCTCCTTGTCCAACACTTTCCTTCAAGCAAAATAATGTGCATTCTTGGAAATTTTTATTTTTATTTCGGTGTCTATCTTGTCTTCCTACCTACATTAAGTATTTCTAATGCTTACCAATGATTTCTTTTTGATTTGCCATCTCTTTTGTAGGCAGTCCTTGACTTACAGTTACAACTGAGCCTGAAATTACAGTCATGGGTTGTAGGAGTTGTTAAGTAAGTCACACTGTGATCATACTCAATTTTATGACTTTTTAATGGATGGTCGTTAAGCAAATGTGGTGGTTGTTAAACAAAACCATTTTTTCAATGGTCTGTTCTTTTACCAGAAACCAGAAGATCAGAAACCAGCAAAAACGGCTGAATATCATGATCATGTAATAGAAATAACACAAGCACTTAGACTTATATACTGCTTTACACACTCTCTGGACAGTTTAAAATATTGCCCCCAACTATCTAGGCCCTCATTTTATCAAGCTTGGAAAGATGGAAGGCTGAGTCACCCTCAAGCCCCATCAGGATCAAAGTCCAGAGTGTGGGCAGAGTTAGCCTGCAATTCAGCATTCTAACCACTGCACCATCAGGGCTCCTGCAGGCTCATGTAACTCATGTAGAATGCTGCAAATGTCAGTATGGGCCAATTGCCAAGTGCCCACATGTGAACACATGATTATGGGGTGGGGGGGCATCTTTGGAACTCCAGAACTGGCTTGTAAATGCCTTGAGGGGATGGGTCCATCATAGTTTCAAATGTCACTGAGTGAGCGGTTGTTACGAAAGGACTACCTGTATTGTGTTTTCACACTGTCTTCTAGTTTTGTAAGACAGTTTTGAGTTAAGAGATGGATTAAAAGCAAAAACGGAGGAGATACTAGAACAATGTATATGGTAGCTTTTTGTTTTACTCACCTTTACTTAGAGTTGCCGATGCTATTTTTCCAGGTACAGCTAAGTTATTATCCGCATTGCCTAATGAAGAACTGTCTTCGTTCGCTGTATTCTGAATGTTTTCCTCGGAGCTGAAACTTTCCACTGTTTCATTACAGTCTGTCAACCGGCAATCAGTAACTGCAGAGTCACCACAGGCAGCTGGAGGTTGATTGTCCACTTCTCCTTGAGCAGAAGAGCTGCTAATTAAGTCAAGCCACGACTGCCTCTCCGAATGCAACAGGTTGCACAATGAGGAAGAGGAGTGTTGGGTTTTCATTGAACTGCTTTCTGGGGAAGATAAGGAATGTGGTACTTCATTTGAAAGATGCGATATTGAGGAAAGCTCTTCTCGGGCCTGTTTTCCAGAACAAATTAAAAACAAAAAGGGGAAAGATTGTATTGTTGTTATTGCCAAGAATCAATAAATTCGCTTTCATACAGCTCCTTGGATAGCTAGATGTCTGGAACTTAGGACTACTTCTAAAACTTCTGGAGACAACTGTAGCCTGTGGTCTCAGCTGAGCTAACCCCCCCTTGCCACAGTTCTGAGACAGAAGACAGATGAAAACTACAATATTAATCCTGAGCTAGGCTTAACACATTTTAAAAACCAAGAAAAATAATACCCCTATCCCTAGAAAATGGACAAAAATATCCAGCCTCGTTTACATGTATGGTGTGACTCTAGGCACTTTGACCCAGAAAGACATTCATCTCCTTTAACAGGCCCCTTGTTAAGTTTGGGGCTTATTCAAGAATTGGTTGGCCACCATTCTTTACACTGTTATTTACCCGTCATTTTTAGAGAGTATTTTTCAGGTTTTTAGGCCCAGAGTTTCCATAGGAAATGTTCTTCTCAAAGGAAAGACGATTTCTTTTGTATTGGTACAAGTAGTCCTTGACTTACAACAGTTCATTTAGTGACCGTTTGAAGTTACAACAGGATGGGGAAAAGTGGGCTGTGACCATTTTTCACTTTGCAGCATCTCTGTGGTCATGTGATCAAAATTTGGATGCTTGGGAACTGGTTCATGTTTATGACAGTTGCAGTGTCTTGGGTCACGTGCTCACCTTCTGTGACCTTAGGACAGGGGTCTTCAAACTTGGCCCTTTTATGACTTGTGGACTTCAACTCCCAGAATTCCTCAGCCAGCGTGCACGCTGGCTGAGGAATTCTGGGAGTTGAAGTCCACAAGTCATAAAAGGGCCAAGTTTGAAGACCCCTGCCTTAGGACAAGCAAAGTCAGTGGGGAAGCCAGATTTACTTAACAACCGTGTTACTAACTTAACAATTTCGGTGGTTCACTGAACAACTGTGGCAAGAAAAGTTGTAAAATGGGCAAAACCCTCTTAACAAATGTTTCACTTAACAGCGGGCTCAATTGTGATCGTAAGTCCAGGACAACTTGCACATTTTTTTCCCATGCAAAAAATCTGTTCTGAAGGTTGGGGGGCCTCTCAGAATAATATAGGAAGGCAGCAGGATAAAAGACAAAACAAAACCTCTGGTAAGAAGGTTTTCAGAATTACAGACTTTTTCACCGTAAAGTAGAAAAATGTGATTAATTAAATTTATTTTTTTCTACCCCGACATGCATAGGCATGTATGTACGTGGGCACACTTGTGTATGTGGGTGCGCGCATGCACTTATTCCCCAGCACAGAATTGGTTTGGAGGCAGTTGGAAAGGATTGCCTTATCTTACTAAAACAGCAGAAAACCATTAGGAGAAAACATTGGCAATCGCATGGCCTTCTGTTCTAATAACATAATTCCTGATTTGATATTTGCAGACTTGACAAGGCTAAAACCTGGATGAGCCAGGCATCCCTCCATCCCTCAGCAAAAGGCCATTAATTATATGTAAAATGCCTCGGTGGTGAATATTTAGAAGTCATGGTTTGGGGATAACAGCTAGAAACTGGGCTGTCTGAATTACGTGGAACCATTATTCAGGATAAACACTGAGGCAGCTCGAATCATTTTAATCCTCAAAGCTTTGGTAGAGTCTGTCTCAGATACATTTATTTTTAAAAAGGAACCATAGAGTTTTCAAACCACGTTTCTCTCTCACTGGAACCAAAATAATCAAGTGCATATTTCCAGAAGATGATATTTTGAAAGGCTTGTTCTCTAAATCAAGAATGAGAAGTTTGTCTGACTGTGGTGCTTTTGGTAAGTTCTTACTAATGCTAGCTAAAATATTCTTTGTACAGGGCCTCTATGTTCTATCACATATCTGGTATTTCTCATCTTCAACAATTTTAACATACGTGGACCTCAACTCCCAGAATTTCCCAGCCAGCCTACTTGCTGGGGAATTGAGGTCCAAACATATTAAAATTGTTGAGGTTGAGAATCTCATTTTAGATGCTAATTGGCTTCCAGAAGAAGCACAACCCAAATATCTTACTCTATTCCCTTGGTAGTTGGAGAATAGTAGAAAGTCTTCTTTCCTCCTTCCTAGTTCCTGTCATCTCTAATCTCTTCTCCAAACAAAGATGCCATTTTTCTGTTCCTTTCCTGATGCTCTGAGGGATGGGCTTCATCATGGGGCTTCCCTTGAGGAGCACTCGGAGGCTCCAGTTAGTCCAGAATGCGGCCGCGCGGGCGGTGATGGGAG